TTTTTTGTACTCTGTATCGGCAAGTACTCAGATCCAAGTATCGGTTTGAAAAAATTGGTATCGTTGCATCCCTACTGATGACTTTAGGGTAAGATTGGGAATATGCTTAAAACTAACTGCTTCATATAATGTCGAGGGCTTCTTTGGTTTTATAGTGCAAGAAACCAAAACAGCTCAAATATGGGGACAAAAGCACAGACAGAGCTAAAGTGCCCCCCCCACCTAAACTAAAAATGACCAATTCTGAAAGGTGTTGAAGGTATCAGACACAATAAGGTTTCACTTTAATACACCTTTGTTCTCTACAGTTTTAAACAACTTACCCATTCGTGTAAGAATGACTGAATCAACTCGGTAAGTACTCCACAGAGGAAATCACGCCATAACAGCACAGATAGCAATTATATGGCATTGGCTTTTTGAAGCAGGCCTATAAGAAAAAAGAAAAGTGACAACCTGTTTAGAACAACATTCACAGCTTGACGTGAGTCTAGGATGCTATAAAAGTCATGCTGCAGCCAAAGACAGAATCTCTGCTGAAAACAGACAAAGGTTTTTTGTCCCATCTTCCTATTTTGTCACAGTTTGCTGTTTTCTAAGACTTTGGTAAGCTCTACATGCCACAGCCAACAGGCCCGGCTACTCCACTTGCTACGTAGCTGATTGGCAGTCACCACAGGTTAGCTGGTAAGCAGAGAAAGCTGTAGAGTCTGAGCAAGACATCTCCAGGGTCTCATTATAAGCCTCATTCGCCAGCAGCTCAGATTCTTATGTCTGAGTGCCCAGGAGTAGCAAAAGGGCCCACTTCATCAGAAGCAGCCAGGGATACGCTGCTCCTCCGCTACGTCTATTCAGCGCTGAAGTGTGATATATTGTAGAAGTGACAGTCTGCCCTCAAATCCATTTACAATCAAGTGCAAAAATCTCCATGTAGTTTCTGATTCAGCTTTGATCCCCGACTGCACCACACCTTTATCTCATAATTACCTGAAAGGAAATACGCTGGGATTGTGTCGGTTTGGGTAGGAATTAGAGGAAAAGCCGGGAAAACGCCCATGCTGTGCAAACCCTGACAGTCATCCAGATGGTGGGATATAGAAAAATGGAAAAGAAGATTGGGCGATGCAGATTCGGGGTCTCGTGCAGGTTGCAGCGAATGCATGAAAGTGATCCTACGGAGCTGTTACGCAGCGACAAAGACAGAATGTGCAAGGATTATATTTCAATCAAGGAATCTGAATCGTGCTGAGTTAAAGCCGCATTACAGCACGTTCCCGGAGCACGTGGGCCACAGTGATGAAGAGTTGGATGGTTGGTTCTTGCAGACAACCATGTCTGCCCATTTGTTTGTGACTGTGCGACTCATCCACAAAGACGCCGAACATAAACACAACAACTACATACTTTAGAGAAGTGTCACAGAAAGACTTATGAATGGTGTCTACAGATACTCATGTCTGCAAGGATAATCCCCGCTGTCTGTCAGACAGTAAGCCTTTGACACCGAGCGCCTTTAGCTGGTTAGCAAGTTAGCAAAAAGATAACGGTTTGCTAAAGACAAAAATAACCTTAGTTAGCTTAGCTGTAGTTAGCTACAGCTTAAGACCAGATAGATTTAAGACATTTTATGCTCCTTTGAGTTAAATTGAGGGCCAACTTAACAACTTAAACCACAGAAAGAAAAGAAACAAAAATAGTTTGGCTCCTGATGTTTGTCCCGCTTAAAAGAAATTAGTCCTTGTTGTCAACTTTGTCACTCAAAGTTTCAATGGATTCAACTGCCTTGATTCCTAATGTGTAAAATGTGGCTCACTCTCTACACAAAACAATGTGTAGAGAGTGAAGCTTCAGCTATGCTACAAAACTCTCCGTTGTCACTGGTAGCTAGCAGACAGGACTATTGGTTTGAGTGTCTTGGAAACAGATTTAAAATTGAAATGTCAGAGAAAAAACAACCAAAAACATTTAAAAAGTATGAATGCCTTTAGAATTTTCATTAAAGAATAATGAAATGCATATAAGTAATAAACTCAT